TTCCTCGAAGAGAGGGGGGGGGCTCGTGTTCTAGCTCGTGTATGGGGATCGTTCTTGGAAAGTAGAGAATTTTCGTTGGTTTTTTGCCATCTTGAATTCACAATTTAAAATCTTTATACCTAAGATAAAAAAGGGTGTGGCTGCAGACTTTATTTGAACGAGGCGGCGGCAGCCCTATTGGTAGGATACCGCCGCTCCTTGGCAGTTATAACTCGTTATCCACCACAACACGGGATGACGGTTGCCTCAGATGGAATTAATCAAAAAAGCATCCTTCGTAATGTTCACATGAGGTGCGCAGCCACGCCTACTCCATCTCTGGGATACCTCCCTACTCGTCGGAACTTGAGACTAGGGGAAGAGAGGTCGTGTTTTGAATTTTCGGGTAATGTCTTGGTTAGAGCACGGACCTGAAGACTGACTGTTACCCAAAACGTCCTCAATAAAAGTTGAACCAAGAGCTATTCATTCCCATCTACATAGTAGATTTTGAGAAAGGACCCATCTTTTTCTTGCTTTATCTTTACGATAGCACTACAGTAACTATGAATAGCGCGGAACAAAGTTCTTGGCACAAGAAGGCCGGTCTGTGTACTCGAACACATCTTATCTCTCGTAGCGAAACTACTATTGCATTTTTTTCTCTCTTATCTGCCTTTTGTCATCGCTATTTGTTTTCATTACTTTACGCTTTCCTCATATTTCACTTCGTCTTCCTTGACGTGGTTTTTCGTCGTCTACAGCAGAATACCATAGTTCCTACATTGTTTGCAGCTGATGAGTCCTGGAGTAGGCACTGTGTCAGTGCTATTGGGCGCTCAATGGGGTGACGAAGGCAAAGGGAAGGTGATCGACTACCTCATCGAAAATAATGACGTAGGTTTTATTTGATACCGCAACTGTTTTTTTTTATTTGCTTCATATATGACCCTCAAGGCGCAGTTCTGGAAGGAAGGGCACTTTACACTTTCTGTTGCACTGCTGTTGTGTTCATTGCTTTAATAGTTGACAAACGGTCTCTACGAACTTCGCTGGTATCATTTCGTGGTTCAGAGAGGATTTCATACGTACCTACTTGATGGCACGACTCGACAAGAAGAAGCAGAGAAAGTACAGAGTTCCCTCCCCCCCACCCGTCGCCGCAACTATACGCGACGTTGCCGTTAACCTAAGTCTCCTCTGTTTTTGTGAGCTCATGAGTAGCAAAAAAAGCTTCTTCGAAGTCGTTTCGTGAGTTACACGGGGGGGACGAGAGGCCGGTAGCATTCCAGTCATTTTTGTCGCTATGAGCTGGGTCCCGTGGGTCAAGTCTTGGCTACCTGGTGGGCCGGGTCATCGCCGTCTCCAGCGAGTCGGGCACGACCTGGCGTTGGGAAGAACTTTTGCTCAGTTTGAAACCTATCCAGAACGACTTCTTCTTCGCGAAACCTCCCTTCCACAGTCGACTAAGGGCTCACAAGTTGACCCAGAAAGGGCCGCTGTAAGGTTAAGGAAGCAGAGGGTGGCGGCTCAACCAATTTGCATCAATCATCGAAAACGCATGTCAGCAGTGATGTAGTGTTGCGAAATAAGCATCGAACATAGAGAAACGATTCAGCGGGAGAAAAGCATGTTAATCACTGGATAATTCTTGGATGGTGCGTTTTCAGTGTATACACGTTAAAGAGATGCTATACCTATTTTTTTCTTCTAAAATTGCGATATCTGAAATCACCAATAACTTGGTCTCATTTTTCTATAGGCGGTGGCGTGACTGATGCTTTATCAACTCTTGTTAATTGCCTGATGAGAAGCACTGCTCCTATTTCATCTCATCAGGCAATTAACAAGAGCTTGGTGCTGTTGTCTTGGAGGGAGCATTGTGCACTTTAGATTCCTTTTGTCAAATCATATTGACTTATTGTTCTCACTTTGATCACTCTAAAACTATCGGTAAATCTTGCGAACGTCGCGGGACTTTACATTTCTTCACAACAGCGCCTGTACAACTCCAGCTGAGCACATTCGGTGACCCCCACCAAGCCGAACTGCGCCTATTTTCCAGTCTCACATTATTCATCATTGGAAGCTCCCCTGTCCTCCTACTTCCTCATTCTTGGTTCTGGCGCTAACCATGACTAATTCATCACAGTTTTCTTAAGGGAGAGGAATCGACGAGTTCCCGTTGTCCCATTCTCAGTCTTAAGCCTCGCATTTTGAATGCCCACTTTGCTAGCTAGCAGCAGATTTGTCCAGTCTACTGAGATATGCGCGGGATCCAGGAATGATATGACGTCCTGGCTGCGTGTGGTAGCCGCACTCGCGCTAGTCGCGGGAGATATGGGTTCGATACCGCGGAGCGTCTGCAGTACTCGCCGCAGCAAACGAGTTTATTGCAACATCAATATTAGCCACAGAATGGTGCGACTTCGTCATCCAATATCTGCTGATTTCCGCCTTCCCACTAGGTAGGAAAATGTCGTATCTAGGAGATGAAAAGGGCGTGGCTAAGTAGTTCGTTTGAACGCGTTGCGTGTTGCGCTTTTGGTCAAATTTCAGCGTTTTGGAACAGCTGCACTCATGCCTTTGTCCAGTACACGGCAAAATGACAGTTACCAAAAATGAGAATGCCTCACGAAAGACGCATAATACGCAATGTTTGAATAAAATGCTGCCACGCCCCTTCCATCGTCGGGATATGAAGTGTATCAACCCATTCCGAGACATCGAAAAAATGTGGCAAAACAACATAAGAGAAGAGCAGCAACAGGCGATAAGAAATGGCATAACATGACGTGCGCGTGCCAACGCATATTCCTCCCCATCCCACTCTCCCCTCCCCTCCTCCTAATTGTTTTTGCCAGCTGTTCCAGTCTAATTAGGCTAACTTGTTGCTTAGCTGGGGAGGTAACGATGGGTTCTCGAAAGTTTCAAAAGAGTTTGTCTTGTCGATGTGAGCACACTTTCTCTGTAAATTCAGGTACAAGTGACAGCTCGCTGTCAGGGAGGCAACAACGCCGGGCACACTGTCGTCGCAAATGGGAAGAAATACGATTTCCATATCCTACCGAGTGGTATTATTAGTCCAAAAGTAAGTTTTCAAAAATCCAGTGACAAGCTGTACACTCGCGGATCCTGGTCCTCCGTGTGTGGAGAGAATAGGTTCACAGCTGCAGTAACGTGCCAATTTCTCCGCCAAAAGTGCATGGAAAAGAGTTGGAGGGTGGTGATACCCAGGTGCCGTCCTTGCGTTACCATCCACACGCCAAACTGTAGCCATACGCAATATGCCCGCTTTTCTGTTCGGTCTCTATTTCTGGCTGCGTGCTCAGGCAGCGTTCAGACTTCGCGACGGCAGCGCTTCGGTCGCGCGTTCGACGCGATCGATGCGCATGCTTTCGACTGCATCGCGTCGAACGCGCGACCGAAGCGCTGCCGTCGCGAAGTCTGAACGCTGCCTATGGTGGGATTTTCTTGAAGGAAAGTGCACCTGGACCTCGAGGATAGGGGGGGAGACTATGGAAAGAGCATTCAGATACCAGTACCCTCCCGCTCTGTTCCCGTGCACTTTTGAGGGGAGAAAGTGGCACACTGCTGCAGCGGCGGACCCATTCACATGGCACTCGCGCACTCCACATGGCATGAACCCTCCTCGGAGGTGAGTGTACAGTTTGTCTTTGAGGGAGCTCTAGGCAAAGGTCTACGACCTCATCCGTAGCATTCCACAAACATCTCTTTCAGTGCTTTAACATAATAGGAAATGGTGTTGTTGTGAACTTGGATGCATTCTTTTCCGAGCTGGATCATAACGGTGTGACAGATGAGCCCGGCTGGGAGAAGAGGTAGGAAACCAATTCATGTTGCTGTTACCCAGTAAGACTCGTATATAAGTTTTACAGAATCATGATATCAGCTGAAGCTCATCTTGTGTTCGGAGTCCACGCACAAGTTGATGGTCGTCATGAGGCGAGCCTTTCTACGACTAAGTAAGTCTTAGAAATAGCTCT